TTTTAGTTTCTTGGAAATACTGCATGAAATTCATTACATCGGCTAGTCCTCCCTTATTGTTTTTGTCCATTAGGAATCGTTGAATAGCTGAGTGAAGGTCTACAAAATCAAGAAACTTGAACTCACCAGGTGGGCCTGCCTCTCCTGGTTGGCCATCCAATCCAGGCTGCCCAGGAATTCCTTTTCCACCAGGTGGTCCTGCTGCTCCAGGCTGTCCGGGAGGTCCAACTGGCCCAGGAGGACACACTTTGCATTTGGATGTGTCCTCGGTGAACGCAAGTGGTGGAACGATTCCGGGAACACCTTAGGAAAACCAAATTAGAAAGGCATAATTGTGGGAGAGAGGCCAAAGCAGAAGCGTCGCATACCTGGTGGACCTTTGCTGCCGTGCCTTCCAGGTTCTCCTGGAACTCCTGGCGCTCCAGAAGCTCCTGGCGCTCCTGGCGGGCACTGATTTTGACCACTGCATTGGCATATGCCTTGTACCTGTCTCTCGCGACGTATAGTGGTGAAATGGCCACCGGTTCTTTTCAGGCTCTCAGAGACTTCGTTCTGACGCACCTGAACCGCATCATCTCAAGTTGTTCTATAGGGAATAAGTGGCAACGACCGCCAATATAAGCCGAAAAGTTTAGCGCTAGCCACAAAAAGATAATGTGTGGTTCGGATTTGGTAATGAGAATGACCCTTTTTGAAGAGGGTCTTTCTATTCGGCTTGCTAGAACATATTGCGAATTAGCAGTTAGTCATAAAATACTTCTTCAAATTTCCTATCGTCAAAAGTTTTCAACTACTTATTTGGGAACCTTCTTATCTGATTGTTCTCTATGAAACCGTTCATATTTCTAGGCATGTCAGCCTTACCCGGAATTGATCCATTCTCACGGCAAGGTCGTTCGTGATGTTTTCAGTCGCATTGTACAAATACGGGATGTAGAGAAGAGAGACTGCGACCACGATCAGCCCCGCAGCGGAGGAGAAATTGGCGAGATGTTTCTCCATCTAAAATTACTATTAATATCAATTGCATAATGAATTGCAAATAAGAGGTGGAACTTCGTAGACGATAGAGTAAGAAGGTTGAGTTCGGACGCTATTTTGCTCTGCCCTTTTATAACCTGAGAAAAGTTGGCAGTTGCGGTCACACGACCGGAACGGGAAAACAACAGTGGTGAGGTTATGTGCAACCTGCTTGCCAGAAACGTGGGTTGAGTAGCTCGGGCATGCTACTGTTTCAGCACGTCACTTTTTCAGAAGATGACATTCTTACAAAATGATACGTAAAACGATGGGGTCGGCTTCCAGTGATTCTCTTCGAATGCACTCTATCAATTTGTTTTTATGCGAAAAATCCGAATTGTATGAAGCTATCCTCCACAATGACAGGTGGTGTTCAGTCCGTACAAAAGTGTATTACCGACCAGTTGACACCGCAGAAAAGGAAGGCCTGACTGACTTGGGGTGCATTTGAGCACACTTGTCACTCAACTTGTTAGTTGTAACGGATTCTCTTGCAGCAGGCCCGATTACCTAAACAATGCGAGCAAAAAGTACTATTTCACCATCATGATCAAGAATGTGCAAATTCTGCTATGGAGCGAGATTGATTACATTCTTCCGCAACGAGTGAAGCTGTGAGGTGAAAAGCTCGGAGAGGTCGCTTTTGATGTGGCTGTATTTGCTGACTTTTTCTCTCCTAGCTGCTGCTTCAGAGAGCTGGTGAGGTAAGGTACGAAGGGGCAATGTAAGGTTATACGACAGATGTGGTGTCGTGCTTCAGCCAGTTTCCTTATGAAAGCGTGGAGATGTTGCAGGCGTACCCGAGCAATGACGGCCGATGCGATGGCTTTGCAATGTGGGGTCATGGCGTTCACTTCCCCAGTGGAGGTAAGAAAGATTCGGAGTTATCGACTGACATGCCGTAGACTTGCTGCGCGCCCACACTTTGGAAGTTATTCATGGTAACCTTTACAATGCTTGTCTGCATAAAGTGAAACGATTCTCAAAACGGGCCCAGCGAATCCAACGAACCGGGGGCAACATCCTCTGATGAAAGAGCTCGGCTTTGGTTGAGATGGTGGGTCCAGGCTGCGAGGTAGCCACCAGGCGTGCCGCGTGTTGTTATCGTGGTGGACTCGTGACTCATCTGCACTGGTGACCAACTAGGGAATGTCCTGTCTATACGGTCGCAGAATGAAACTTCTGCAGATGGTCAGGCGTGCTTCTCGGTCATGGTCAGCCGATGCATGTTGTTTCCTCTTCATCATCGAAGCTTCATTCTGCTGCAGGTGGTAGAAATCGGCGTTTTCACAGATGATTCTTTGATTAACATAAAGGCAAAAACTGTCAAGAAAGCTCTTCAGGACCCGTCGTTCTCATCGAAATCACTCCATTACACCATACCTTTTGCCTCGATTCAGTACCATCTTTATGTCGTACAAAATGAATAATGGGAACCACGTGAAACGGCTCAACATCTTCTTTTCATTACAAACCCCCTGATTTGGAATTGAAAAATTCGAAATGGAATCGAAGTTGGCAACCAATGACAGAGAAAAATTAGTGTGTTATTTTCATGTTTCTATTTTTCACTTCAACCGTTTTAGCCAAATGTAAGCGTTCTGATATCATATCCCAATCCAAAATATGGACTTTTCGCGACAAGTTTCGCTGGCAACAAAATTTCCGGGTGAACTCCCGACAATTTATGCCGCCGGTGTTACTTTTCTATCAGTTTCCCTCAAGGAATGCTGCGCTTGTTCCCCTCAACCAGTTTGGTTTACAGTAGACGTTATCTCTGAACAAGGTCGTGGCGTAATACCAATGTAAGAGCAACCTGATTTCACTGGCCAGAAAACTGTCCAAATTTGAGTGGAGTCGTTAGTGCTTTTTGAAGGTGTACCTCTAGCGGTGATTCCCAAGGAAGCCTTAGTGACAATTTCAATGCAGCAAGCCAAACGGAAACATGTTTTCCAGCAGGAGAACAGGTTTGACGCTCAAAAGTTCCGGTGCTTTTGGTCAAGTACGTACTATGTGAGGGCGCATCAACTGCTTATGCTTCCATAAAATTGCTCAGCTAGCTAGGTTTCCAGGGAATTTTACAAAATTTGTGACAACTAAATATGCGAGTGACGTTGTAGTGTCAAAGGCATTTCGCATGTCTATGTTGATTTGGCTACCCATCTTCAAATATAAGTCCTTCGACTCGGTAGGGCCATCATTAAAGGTAGGATTTCAAGATAAAAAGATAGCTCAGTAAAAAGAAGGGTAGAGATGGTCA